GTCTTCAAAAAGCACAGGAAGTGGCAACAAGTACTTCTGGATCTTAAAACAAGGGAGAGGAGAGAGGACTGGGTGAAAGTTGTCTGAGGAAACTCAGCCACCCACCTAGGAGATTACCCGTACTCCATTCCCAGCACAGATCAGGGCATGGATGCCACACCCCAAAATGGGGGTTAACTCTGTGACCGCAGAGCTGACACATGACTGCAGAAACCCTCTGTTCTTTCCCCAAAGACTCTGGCAACTAGATTTTTAACCTCCAGACAGGATACTCTTCTTGGGAAATCAAACTAATTCAAGAGGAAGTATCTAAACATAAGGGTTTCCCCACAAACAAGCTCTCATGACCACTCGAAAGTGACACTCAGAGTTGACAAGCCCATCCACACACTCAGGCTTTCTAGGAGATTTTTATTTAGTCCCCACTCTTCATCATTAGCAGACAGCCACAGATTGCTGGGCATTTGAGGAAAGTCTCTAACGTGGAAAACAGAGACAAAAGTAAAGAAAAGGTAGAAAAAAAACCAAGTTAGCAGGAACAGATATCTTGTAGGAAAAAGAAACCTTACCCAGAAAACAACAATTAGTACTGTAAGAGAAAATACCGCTCTGTAATACAAGAGAAGGATGCTGAGGAAAAGGAACACTCAGGAGAAAGGGGATGAGGACACAGAGGAAGGAGAATGAGTGGGAGGTGGGAGGACGGGAGATGGAGAGACACAAGGAGGGAGGGAGAGAAGAAGGGAGGGGAGAGGACAAGAGACGGAGAGACACAAGGAGGGAGGGGAGAAGTGAGGAAGAAGACGAGGAGAAGAAGGAAGGATCGGGAAGAGAGAGGCAGGGTGTGAGGGGAAAAAGACCAGACCAGGCCAGATCACTGCCGTACAGCAGAGGCTAAAGACCGAACAGTCGACCAAGTGGGAAGACGGGGGGCTCCAAGCAGGATGTCTCCCCGCAAAGGGATAAACCTGGCAAACACACCTGCTATGTATCCCGTCCTGACATCAACTCCACAAAACCTGACAGCATTACTATCACACACCATTGTTTATAATTTCTTAAAAGGATTATTTTGTGATGTTCTTAATCAGAAAAAGAAAGTGGTAAGATTTAAGAAGCAATGGTTAGCAAAGAACTGTAAAATAAAAAAGTAGTCAAAATGTACTAAAAGTTGGGAAGATTTTTTAAAAAGTTAAGTAACTAAAGCAATGACGTGAAAGACGGGAGACAGCAGTCAGAACTCAAGCCTAGGTTCCCAGCATCCTTGCTTGTTCAGAAAGAAGCTGGAGAACTCTGATGGGACATCATGAATCAAATTACAGAAAAAGCACACACAAAAAAGTTAACTTCCAAGCCCATGGAAGAGAGTTAAAATGAGAATAAAGAAAACTAACCAATAATAGAAAGGATTAAAATAGGAAAAAACAAGCAAAGAGGAAGCATGTAAACAGAAAACACGAGACAGAAATAAACACAACGAAATCATTAAAATTCAAAAGATACTGTCTCAACAAAATTTTAAAACATATGAAAACATTAAGTATAATCTGTGGACAGACACACATGTGGCGTGACTGCAGAAACATCCAGAGGCTGCAGACGACATTCAGTAGAGTGGCTGCCACCCTCCGGGAAGCAGGAAGGAGAAGAGTTTGTGAGGGGCATTTCAACTGTCGCTATAATTTCTGTTTTTAATCTTTGAAGCAAATATGGAAAAATGTTAACATTTGTGGGGAACACATCTGTGGCTGTTACATTAGTCTGTATTACCTGAAGTATTTAATAGTTTTTAAAAATTGAACAGAACAGCAACAGTCAGATATAGGATATTCTCATCCTACAAAAACACAGAAGTTCTGAACTGCCTTTACTTACACAGGTTTTAGAAACGTTAGCTCCATTTAGCGTGGTTCAGTTAGTTTATAAATCACTGACTCTCACCTAAATTCCTAAGATATTAAACAATGTTAAAGTCTTAAAATTATTCAAAGTCAAGACCTGTTCAAACCCAAGCACCTGAGATATTTTTAGAATTACCCATAAACTAAGAAATTAATACTGTTCCTGAAGAAACAGACTTTCTATCAGCGTTTCTAGCTTAAGGAGACAGTAGGCTGTAAAAATTTTAGCTTCAGAGAATAATTCTGATGATGCGGAACTGCAACAAGACCACTTCACTTATCACAATAACAAGATTAATTTTTTTTCCTAAAAAACCAATTTTTTTCACTAAGAAGCATCTAGGAATATCTGCTGTTACAATATATAGTACCTGTTAAGTCCTTTGCCAAATCAGGATGGTTCATGAGACAATGGCTAGCAAATTTCACACATTCCAGGCGAATTGGCACATGGATATCATTAAACCTGATGAAATATCAAGACACAAATGTTTAAAACAAAAGAAACATATGTGCTTAATCGGCACTCAATTTATACTTACTTCTCTATATAGTGAAAATTTACAAAGGAGAATTCAAAGTGGAGACAGACCATTTTTTTTTTTTTTTTTTGTATGAATTTTTTTTTTTTTTTTTTAATATTTTATTGTACTTCAGGTGAAGGCTTACAGAACAGATAGTTTCTCATGTAACAGTAACACACATGCTGTTTTATGACATTGGTTAACGAGACAGACCATTTTAACCAAGTTTTTGATACACTACAGATACAGGAATGCTCTGGAATCTCTATATTCAGCTAGGGCAACCTCTTTGACAACTAAGTTATTTTAAGTGGCCTTTAAACATCTGTTTAAGCAGTACACATCTGGCTGAAATGTAAGAATCAGTATGATAAATGCATGGAGTCCCTGGGTGGTCCAAAGAGTTAATGCACTTCCTGCTAACTGAATGGTTGAAGGTTCGAGTCCACCCAGAGGCACCTTGGAAGAAAGGCCTGGCAATCTACTTCCGAAAAATCAGCCACTGAAAACCCTATGGAGCACAGCTCTACTCTGATATACATGGGGTCGCCAGGAGTCACAACTGACTCGACAGCAGCTTGTTTATCAAATATATGTGTACAGGTAAGTGTGTGTATATAGTTAACAGACAGATCTACATCTCACGTTGCACCTGAAGCAGGGTTTCGAACAGGTTCCTTCCATTCCAACCTCCGCTGAGAATTTGCATTTCTACCAAGTTCCCTGCTGAGAATTTGCATTTCCACCCCAGACATACTGAATCAGAATCTACATTTTCACAAAATTCTTGTATATAACTTCCTGGGAACTTGTTAGAAATGCAAATTCTCAGCAGGGGTTTGCACCAGAAAGAACTGGTTCAAAGTCCTGGTTGGAAAAGAAAATTTTTCTCAAAATACTCTTCTTTACACACAGGGCTGCAGAAGCGTGTGGCAGCTCCTGCACTGAACACCCTTCAGGTCCTATCACCTGACTCCAAAGCTGCCCCAAATAGCGATTACTCCTCTGCAGTCGGCCGTTAACCGTGAGCACATGGCCACCAACACGAAAGCCGCTTTTTATATTTCATTTGTAAATATTTAAGTATCGCTAAAAAAATTAAACTCTCTTCAAAAAAAGAAACCAGGAGGACATTTAAAAAATTAAAAATTTCTTAACAGCATCAAATATCCAAATATCCAATTTCAAACGTAAATTTTTTTCTAAATTTTATTTATTTTGTGGTTGTTGTTGAGAATATACACAGCAAAACATACAATTCAACAGTTCCTACATGTACAATTCAGTGACATTGATTACATTCTACTAGTTGATTACATTCCCCAATGTCAGTTTTTTAAATGTTTTCTTTGTAAATCAGTATCAAAATAAGATGAGAACACTGCTTTAGATTGATATATTACTTATATCTCTTTTAATTTTATCTTTCCTCCATCTCTTGTTTTCCCTTATACTTTAATTGTTGGAGCAACTGGGGCGGGTGTGTGTGTGTCTGTGTGTGTGTGTGTGTGTGTCTGTGTCTCTGTGTGTGTCTGTGTGTGTTTTCAAATTCTCATGGACCCCAGACTTCCTGGAGCCAAGGAGGCTGGATGAACCACTGAAACTGTTGCCTTAAGATAATCTGTTTTAACCTTAAACCAAAAATATTCCCTGAAGTCTTCTTAAAACCAAACAGTAGTTTAGCTTAAATAGTAAAAAAGAAAAAAATCTACCTTGAGCATTATGTTCTTTTAAGAACTGTCTATATGGGATCAAGTTGACAACAGCAACTGAAAGATTAGACAGGAACCCTAGGGGGCAGTGAGTTTATGTTAATGGGGAAGAACAACTCAGAGGAGACCGTGAGAGTGGTTGCAGGACACAAAAAATGCCATCAATGTCACTAAAAAGTACATGTAGAAATCGTTGAATTGGTGTATGTTCTGCTGTGCATATTCTCAACAACAAAATTCATTAAATTAAAAATGTATATAGAAAAAAAGCACAGTACATTAGCTCATTTATGGAGTGCAAAGTATTGTTTTTTTAATCATTTAAGTATCAACAACATTAAAGAGAAGCCAGCACTTTCCATCCAATATTTTCATGTAAGTCTTAATTTTATGAAATCAAAAGGCTCTCAAATCTTTTATCACCTAACACTGAAGAAATAGAATTTCGCATTATCAAGGAGAAAAAAAAAATTTTCAAAATCAATACCAAATTACTCATAAAAGTTTATTTAAAAAAAATTGTTCTACGAAGGACACCACCCAAAAAAGTCACAGAATACATCCTACGGTCCTAAATAAAGTTTCCTGAGTGTTCTGAATCCAGGTATTCAATCTCTGTAATTTTACCATTTCTCAACTATTTATAAATATAACAAAAGACCACAGAAGGTATCTTTAAAAACACTCTAGAGTTCCTTAATATTAGTAATACTGTGTGAGTTTTGTGTCATTAATATTAAACGGAAAAACTACAATGTACTAGAAAGGTGACCAATAGGTTTCAATTAGGAATTTTTATTATCGTGGCAAAATACAGACAACCCAAAGTTGCCATTTGAACCACTGTCAAGTGTGCTATCCGGTCACACTGGTCACACTCACAAGGTTGTCAACCATCACCACTGTACGTCCCCAAACTGCCTCATCACCCCAAAGAGAAACTCCACACCTAACGAGCAGTAACTCTCCCACCCCCTTCTCCTCAGCCCACGATAACCACTCATCTACTTTCTGTCTCTATGCATCTGTGTATTCTAGGAGTTTCATATAAATGGGATCATACACTGTTGTATTTGTCCTTTTGTGTTTATTTCACTAAGCATAATGTTTTCAAGGTTCAACCATGTCACAGCATGTATGAAAACTTTAATATTTTGTGTGGAGGAATACTATTCCATGGTACGGATATACCACATTTTGTTTATCCATTCAGCTGTTGTGGAACACGTGGTTCTCTCCTACCTTTTGGCTGTTGTGAACAACGTTGCTATGAACACTGGCGTATAAGGATCTGTTTGAATCCCTGCTTTCAGTTCTTTTGGCTTTGTACCCAAAAGTAAAACTGCTGGGTCATATGGTAATTCCATGTTTAACTTTTTCAGGAACTGCCAAACTTTTCCACAGTGGCTGTACCATTTTATGTTCCCACCAGCAATGGATGAGGCTACCAATTTCTCCACATCCTTCTTCTGATAAAAGTCATCCTAGTGGGTGTGAAGCGGTATCTCACCATGGTTTTGATTTACATCTCCCTAAAGACTAACGATGCTGAGCATCTTCTCATGTGCTTCTTGGCCATTTCTGAATCTTCTCTGAAGAAATATCTATTCAAGTCCTTTGTCCATTTTTTTAATGGGTTGTCTTTTTCTTACTGAGTTGTAGGAGTTCTTTATACATTCTGGATATTAAACCGTTATTAGATATATGAAGAGCTTGGGTGGAGCAAGTAGTCTGCGATCAGCTGCTAACCTAAAGGCTGGCAATTCAAACCTACCCAGGGCTCCGCAGAAGAAAGGCCTGGCAAACTGTTTCCATAAAGATTACAGCCAAGAAAACCCTACGGAGCCCAATTCTACTCTGTAACACATGGGGTTGCCATGAGCTGAAATCGACTCAACAGCAACAGGTTATCTGATATATGGTTACCAAATATTTTCTCCTGTTCTGTAGGTTGTCTATTCACTTTCCGGATAAAGTCCTTTAATGCACAACAGCTGTTAATTCTGATGAAGTCCATTTTACCCATTCTTTCTTCTGCTGCTCGGGCTTTCAGCACTGTATCTAAGAATCCACTGCCCGACAGAAGGTCCTAAAGTTTACTCCTACGTTTCCTTCTAAAAGCTTTATACTTTTAGCTCTGTGTCTAGGTTTTTGGTCCAGTTTTAGTTACTTTCTTCATCTGGTGTAAGGTACACTAGGATTTTTTGCCCTGAAAACCTATAAAATAAGATAAAGTCTGGCTAACCCAAGTCCTGATATAAAGATACAGCTATATATTAGAAATATTTTTTTTTAGTAAATAAAATGGACATTACATTTTGTTGCATCATTTAATTTAACTTGTACAATGTTTTGCCCAACTGCCCACAAATTTTCCATTATATTTAAGGGGAAAATGCCTAAAATCAAACTCAAAATGACAATGGGCTAATACTTATTAGCTTATGTATCTCATTAAATATTATTATTGAGCTAAATAAGAGCCAGAAGATCAGACTAAGAATTTAGAACTTAATCATTTACAAAAGCTTCTATCCTCATTTAACAAATTAGAAAAATGAGGCCAAATGAGACTAAATTTATCACAATCGCTGGCAGTTCTTTTATTGAAATAGAAAAAAGAGCAGAGATACTAACGCAAATACTTCAACACAAACCAAATAGAATATAAGTCTTTCAATTCTATTAATTGTTTGTTCATGACTTAATTGCACTATCTGTTATGAGGTTAATTCAAGGGGAAACAGTCCTCCTTTATCCTCAGGCTCCAAGCCGGTACTGGCCAGGGCACTTGTAGGGTTTCCCCATTGTTGTGGTCAGGAACACCTTCAGAACTCTGAGTGAAATGAGGCCCTCCCACAGAAAAAAGCCACCAATTTCAGCATTCAAGGAACCCAGGTCATCGATTTCTTTAATCAGGAGAAAGATGCAAAGAGGGAGGAACATACATAGTCATTTATTAGTCATTCTCTGGATCCCCTGATCCTTTTCAATAGCCCCAAAAACCTAATGAAGTATAACTCTCTATGAAGGGGCTATAACTCACAGTGACGGATTTTCAGTTGGAATTAATCAGTGCTTTGCAGTGAAACAATTTAATTTCCTGGCTGTAATATTACGTGAGACAGCTTTCTAACTGTATCATCTTTTTAAAATTCCCAAGGACAAAATAAGCTGGAACGACCAAAGGAAACTCTAGATATGACCAATCACTGTCAGCATTCAAGATTTCAACAACAACAAAGAACCTTCATTTTATGACCTAAGAGAATATAGCGTGATAACATAAGTAGAAATAAACATATATTACTGTACTTTTAAACAGGAAACCAAAAAGCATATACCTGCCCAAGTAGCACTGCCACAGCGGTTTGTTTTGAGAAGCCAATTCTGAATCCTTTGCCCCAAACATTTTTGCCAGGAGTTTAACAACTTGCAGGCGTTCTTCATTATCATTGCTCTAAAACAAAACACAATCACAGCTTTAAAACATGAGGTAGAATTAGGCTACCACCCATTTTTTCCCATGATTTCTCTTATCCTCTAATTCTACAGAAAACTTTCATGAACTCCAGATGAAAAATTACACTTTAAAATGCTCCACACACTCTTCACAAAATTAAATGTTATCTTAAGTGCTCCAATCACTTCAGGTGACGTTGAAGCAGTACCTCCTGCCTGAAAACACATCCCTAAAGTCTGACTAAATGTTAGCGGCCCTCCTGCAGTGGAGCCCCCCTTCTGCTCAGTGTCAAATTCAAACTCTAACTCCTATAAAGCCTACTCAGGACCCCAAAAAAATATTTCTGGTTTTCAGAAACAGCCAGTGAGAGAGGCCCGAGCTCTTTGGGATGGCTGTGCTTTCGGGGCTCTGGATTATGACCCCAGCTCTTTGTACAGTTAGAAGCCCTCGTGGCGCAGTGGTTAAGAGCTCAGGCTGCTAACCAAAAGGCCGGCAGTTTGCATCCACCAGCCACTCCTTTGGAAACCCAATGGGGCAGTTCTACTCTGTCCTATAGGGTCGCTATGAGTGGTAATCAACTCAACGGCAAAGGGTTTGGGTTTCTTTTATTTGTTTTTGGTAGAACACATGTGCCGCAGTCTCCCAAGGGGACATTCTGAATACAGGAAAGTCAGCTCATCTGCGCGTGCAGATCCGTAGGGAGTTCAACAGCACAATGACGAAGCCTTGCGGATTCGAACACTCGCTTTCTGCTTTAGTTTATACACGATGCGCACCCTGAGGACAAGGACTCAGTTTTGTCACTCATCTTGGCGCCTCCAGCGAAGTGCACGATGGTCAGATGAGTGAGCCAGCAACGACAGCAGATGTGGACATACAGTGAGGCAATGTGGGGTGCAGAAGGCACCGGGACTCGGGGAGCTCTGGGAGGCGCGGCACTTTGTTGCTGTTTTTCCAACAAATGCTCCAGCCTGGCATTCCAGAGCCTCATAATGTGACCTATCTCACTGTTGTTATTTTTCCTATTATTCCACTAAATAAGCACTTCTTAACCCTGGCTGCACATTACATCACCTCCAAAGCTTTTTAAGAAATTAAATTAAAAAAAAAATGATGCCTGGACTCTACTCCCGGAAATTCCGCTCACTGGTTTGGCGGAAGGTCTGCATGTCTGTGTCTTTACTAGGTCCCCAGGTGAGGACCCTAACATGCAGCCAGGAGGGACTGAAACTGACTTTATGACACCTTCCAACTGCAGTTCTCGATGTTCAGTAACTCACCTGACACCTGCCTACCTCTATACACTTCTCACACTGTTTCCTTTGCTTCAGCTTCCCCACTGTATATTCTTTCCATTTTTTATTACAATTTTAATATCTGGCCTCTTATTACAACTGGATCTTTTCTTTCTTTCTCCTTCCAATACTAGATATTAAGTTTGCTACAAGCAGGGGTGATAATTTCCGCATTTTTCTATGTCTTATGTTGTTGTTAGGTGCCGACAAGTCGGCCCCTGACGCACGGCGACCCCGCAGGTTACCGAGGACAACTGCTCTGGACGATTTTCTTGGATGTAATCTTTATGGAAGCAGTTCGCCAGGCCTTTCTGCAGAGCCGCTGGGTGGGTTTGAAATACCACCGTTTGGGTTCGCAGTCAATCACAAACTGCTTGTACCAGCCAGACTCTTAGAGTGTGCAGGAAAATGCACACAGCAAGCATTTACTCAACATTTCTACTACAGAAAAGCAGATAACCAACAAGTAATTAAAGATGTGACTGCCTCAGGCCTCATCAAAATTGTTAAACATTCACACAAAAAAAGGCAACTGAATCAAGAGTCACTTGAGGAATATTCCAGAATAAAATGAAAATTATTTGCTGGATATTTGAGCTATTTACACTATCAACATGGACTGTTTAGTTTGCTTTGTTTTTGAGAGAGACAAAGCAGGAGTTTTAGAAAAAAGAAATACAACATGGAAATCATTTAAGAACTTTTCTGGGTGGTACACTGGGGTCTTTCATATATAACTATAACCAGCTTTACTTAATCTCTCTGTAATGATTTGAAAAAGAAAAGTATATTTCCTAAACCCAAAAATGAAACTCAATTTTACAGCTTAGTCTACTGTCAAAGCAATAGGGAAAAGATTCCACAAGACTGTGTGAAAAAGCAAATGAGCCTTCAGTGTAGGCAAGCATAAGATAACAGGTGTTGGGGTAAAATTTCACACTGTAACGACAATGAACCCTAAACTGTCTCTATGGCTGAATCAAGGGATCAAGAAAACTGTTACAAACTGTTCCTTGGAAACACAAGCTCAATATAGAGCTATGACCTACAAAGTAAGTTCAATTCTAGAATTTATCTGAAAAATACGTGGAGGAAAATAGCATCCCAACCTCAACAGAACACTATTTCATCCACTTTTCAAATGACCGTTAAGACAACGAAAAATAATCAAGATTGTGAAGGATGACTTATAAGGAATCCTAAGAACACAAAAATGAAAGCTGATCAGAATCCAAAAAGTAATTAGCATATATATAATAGGAATAGGAGCCCTGGTGACGCAAGGGTTAAGTACTCGGCTGCTAATGGAAAGGTCTGCGGTTCAAAACCACCAGCAGCTCCACAGGAGCAAAGATCTGGAGATCTGCTCCTGCAAAGACTGTTGCTGTTGTCAAGTCAGTTCTGACTCACAGTGACCCTATTATACAACAGAAGGAAACACTGCCCGGTCCTGTGCCATCCTCACAGTTGTTGCTATGTTTGAGCCCGCTGTTGCAGCCACTGTGTCAATCCGTCTCCTTGAGGGTCTTCCTCTCTTTTGCTGACCCTCTACTTTACCAAGTATGATGTCCTTCTTCAGGGACTGGTCTACAGGACTACAGGAGGGACCAGTCCTGTACAGGTGACAGCCTAGAAAATCCTACGGGACAGTCCTACTCTGCCCTATAGGGTCGATATGAGTCAGAGTCAACTCGATGGCACACAACAACAGCATAAAGGGAATAGGTACTACCTAACCAAACGACATGCTGCAAGTTCAGGACAAAAAAGTCATAATAAAAAACACTCTAAATGGATAAGAAATTTCTGAAACTCGTATCATTAAAACAATACATGTTGTCAAAATGCAGCAGAATTGAGAACTCTAAATTCATAAATGAGCAACCTATAGGTAGACATTAAAGCTTCCGTACCTGATCATTCCCCTTCTGTCAACAATCGTTAACTCAGCAGCCACCATCTGCTAAGCACTATGCCAGGCACGGAGACACATGGGCAGGTCGGGCACAAGCATGTAAACAGAGGGCAGTAAGAAACCATCTTGAAAGTCTGTCCCATTTGGTTAAAACTTTGGTGAGAACTGAAAAGTCACAGACAATGCTCTTTGCTAACCTGGTTGACAAAACCGTGATGTTTTTCTGATAGTTACCTTTAACTTAAATTCAAGCTGGGGTAAAACAGAGAGCAACAAATGACTGTCGATATTGTAGAGCTCCAAAATTAAGTCAAAGACGTGCTCTGACAAGTCGCTGATAGACGTTTTCCCAAGCATCAGAACCTGGTTAAAAAACTTTTGAGGAGAAAAAAGTTTATCATTAATAGAAACACCACAGATTAAACCAACTTTCTAAAGACTTAATTATTATTCAGTCAAATTCATACAAAGTCAAATTTGACAAATCAAAGCATTTTCTAACAGTAGGTGGGAAAACCACTACAGGCTCTAATGAAAAGGTAAAATGTGAAATTCATCTTATACACCACAAAACAGATATATAATCTATCACTAAACACCCTACCCTCTAAATACACTTCGTTCCCACCGCGGCCCTTACCACCGTCTCTCCTGTGTTCGTTAGCTGCGTACATGTCACGATCTCCCTACCAGATACAGTGCTTAAGGGCAAGTGTGTTCACATGTCTATGTCTGCGGGACCACAGCACCTAAGCCAGAGGCTTACGCATTCATAGTAGGAACCAATTCCAGTTTTAAAATAAGTAATTTCATACTTTTAATACCAAAAAAAGGAAAAACCTCTACCTAATCCCTTTTGCCTTCTTTTATATTCTTCTAAACAACATACACGTGTATAAAGTTTACAATACTAACTAAAACCCAATTAAAAGCACACACAAACACCAGGGAAAGCCTGGGAAGTTTGGTTTTTTTTTCTGCAAGGCAGCCAGCTCTACCTAGCTTCCACATTCAGAAACTGGTAAAGATACGTGGCATAATGGTCAAGTCCTTTTCTGTTTAAAATCTTCCAAATATGTTAAAAATTAGTCCAGAGCTTGTACCTCATGTCCCCAACAGTCCCCCCATCTCCTTGAAGGAGGAGCTAAGGATTCCTCAGACCACAGAAGGGGCTATGATCTCTTCTCTCAGTGACAGTTAACACAGAATCTGGCTTCATTAGGTTTGCGCTTTCTATAAGGAAAGCACGAAGTCAAGATTTCTCATTTCCATGTCTTTTCTGCTTACTTTTAGTTTGTTGTTTTTAAATGAAAGTTTTCAGGTCTATGAACCTGTATAGACTACCTAGACATAAATTCTATAAATAGCTGAAAATGAAGGGTAAAAGGAAAAAATTCTATTTTACAATCCTTTTTTATTGGTTTTAAAAATAAGTTGTTTGTCCAAAAAAAAAAAAAAAACTTGTTTGTCCTCCCTGTTTATCAATTTTGAGAGAGAAGAATTTTATGATATCAAAGGTCAAATTCTCTTTCAGGCTGGGAATAAACTGGCTTTTTTGTTTGCTTCCATTTACAAATGTTCTCCTATTTAAAAAAATGGCGAAATAAAGGCCCTCAACCTACTGCTCCTTAACAAAGAACAATAACAACCTTTTCCAATCTGGCCACCTTGCAGTCACACCGTCATCTTCCTCCTCCCTCCCTCCGTCTGGGAATGAACCCACAAGGAAATGCAAAACATCACTTCCTGGGTTAGCCCCTTATAAACTGCTTCAAAACGCTTACTAAACCCTTACAATCTCCCTAAAGGCAAAGCCCGGGTGGGTCTTGCACCGTGTGACAAGCATCCAGCACAGAGCCCGACCCAGGGCTGGCACTCGATATGAGAGGGAACAAACGTGAGTAAAACCGCCCATGGAGAGGGCTTAGACATCTAACAGAAGACGCAGCCTTAGATCTGACTAAAACATGTCCTGCCGAAAAACACTGGTCTCTCATCTACAAATAGGTAACTATAGTTTTCACACCACAAATTAAGGTATTTGATAGCAATTGCTTCCTAAAGCAAAGTAATGGGTGAGGCACAGGGCAGTAATAAATAAATTAGAACTTACATGTACATGGTCAATGCCCCTGGAAAAGTGCCTTCACATTAAATAACTCATTCTCTTCCGTCACTATCCCAAGCATAACTAACCCCAATTGACAGATTCAGAAACCGAGTCTGAGGGAGATTAAGTAATCTACCTGATGTCAAGAAACATTTAATATAATTTTTCAGTCCTAAACTTACCACAAGTTTCCTAAAACTTGTGATAAAAAAACTCTGATGAACAATAACATTGCCAAGCTATGTTCCATGTAGGAATTTTTTTTTTTTAATTGTCAATGGGTACTTTTTGTTTTTAATCCCCTGCTTTATTTTAAAAAGGCTATTTTTTGCTTTCCTGAGTTGTCAAGTTACCAAAATTCTATTTAGAAAAATTATCTATACCACCACAGTGACCTCTTGGGGGTGGGGGGGATATTTGTGTCTGTATGAATCTATGACTCACCATCTATAAAGAACAAACTTGAATGGGTCTGTATGTATGTGAGTGAATAAGACACACGCGGAAAAGAGATTATTACCTGTATCTCTTAACCCAATGTTTACTTGCTAATTCTCTAGAAGAAAGAGAAATGAAGAATGGCTATTTAATCTCCAAGTCAGAGAGAAGGCCAGGAATGACTTCTAACACTGTCCTCATTTTATACTACCCTAGGAAGTGATTTTATCTGAAGCCATATAGTCTGAGACAGAAGAATGAGAGGACCGATGAGGGAATTAAAGCGGGGGGCAGGGGGCGGACAGCAATGCTTACTGGCTTCTTGGCTACCCCTCAAGTAAAAACAAAGGATAAAGAAACAGAAAAAAGAAAACAATGGACAAATTACTGGGAATAAGTCTATCATCTGAGGTGTGCTCAGGCCACTCTGCCAGCCCTGTGCCTCCCCCTCCCTCCCCACTTTCTGATAAAGATATAACAAGTGGGGCGGGGGGCGGTGGGGGGGGCTCCATTTCTGCAGGCAAGAACTAACAGCAAGAAATTAACATAAGGTGTAACTGATTGGGAGATATTTTTACCTTGATTTATCTGAGATTTCTAAAGGCATCTTCTTGGGCCTTTTAAAACTTTTATTAAAAACATAATCAAATATATACAAAAGTTAAGAGAACAATATAACGAACCGGTTTCAAGAAATATCATCATTCTATCTTGCGCCTCTCTACTTTTAAATCATCCCAAATCAAGTATTTATTTTTCCCATTCCCAGAATCAAAATGGTATGGTATTCTTATTTTTATGCCAGAAAAAGCCAGAAAAAAATCCAACTTGGCAATATCAGTTTAAATAAATGACCACCAGGAGGTACACACCTAGTGTACGTAGTGGGCCACGGAGATAGACATTTAGAGGCACTAACCCAAAACCAAATCAAACTCGTTGCCGGCGAGTCGATTCTGACTCATAGTGACCCTACAGGACAGGGCAGAACTGCCCTGTAGCGTTTCCAAGGAGCACCTGGTGGATTCAAACCGCCAACCTTTTGGATAGCAGCCATAGCACTTAACCACTATACCACCAGGGTTCCCAATACTGTAAATCTCTATGGAAGGAGACTGCCACATTTTTCTCCTGCAGAGCAGCTGCTGGGTTTGAACCACAGACCTTTTGGTTAACAGCCAAGCACTTTAACTACGTCACCAGAGCTCCTTTAAAAAAAAAAACCAAGGCCCTACTGGGAATTGAACCCAGGATCTCCTGTATACAAGACAGGTGCTTCAACCCATTAAGCCATAGAGCCCATAGCATTTAGAGGCACTAGAAGGGGGAAAACCAAAACCAAATCCACTGCCACTGAGTCGATTCTGACTCATAGCGACCACAGAGGACAGAGCAGAACTGCCTCATAGGGTTTCCAAGCAGCAGCTAGTGGATTCGAACTACCGATCTTTTGGTTAGCAGCCAAGCTATTAATCACTGCGCCACCAGGGCTCCAAGGGGAAAAGGAAGGGCTAACTAATCCCTGCATGCAAGTCTGGGTCTACACACTTCAAATACTGCTAGATGAGTCATGAAAACACTCAATCGAACCAACCTTCTCAGCCAATACTCAAGACTCACAAAGCTGTAGAAACCAGTATTTGGAGTTCCCTGCCAATGTTGGAATTTACTAAGATTGATTACAGGATTTGAATCTACAATTTCCTTACAATCTAATCCATCTTTCCAAATCATCATGCCTTTGGATTTTTTAAGGCCGCACTCCAGAAACATAAAAGTTGAGCGTACCAAGGTGCTGTTTTAGAAAGTATTTTGTTTTTTAAAGTAAATCTTTTCACGGTATATTTTATATACTGACTTTTAATTTTTGTACACTACATGAAAAATTCTCCTTCAACAAACGCAGGAAGATTAACACATTAGGGTTTTTGTTTTGTTTTTAACTTCTGTAAGTAACGAAAAGGCTTTTTTCCTCACTTTCTTCTAGAAGACAGATTTATAGCCTTTACGTATTTGGAAGTGACGGAAAGTGAAAAGTGGGGGGTAAGGCAGAATTCTCGCACAATTCTGGGCCCCCCCCCCAGTGTTGTGGATCTGTGTTTGAGGAGGCGCCTTTCCTACAGAATACAACGCCAGTGGTGCCTCCCACAGCTGTGCGACTCAGCAGAAATGCAGAAAGGAAACAAAACCCACAGTAAGCTATGAGTGAACCCAGCCGCTAAAAAACATGTCTCCTAAAAATAAACATAATATGGTCAATCATAAATAAATAAAATAGATTTGGGGTGTTACAGAAGGTTCATTTCTCTATAATTCTTTCCCTTTCTCAAAAAAGGTGGATTTATATGGAATCTATCTATTTTAGGCATATCAACAGGTAAGCAACTTTCACCAAATCACTACTGCCCTTCATACTTGCCTTCAATTTCTAGGTCTTGATATTAGTTCATATCTTCTTCTTGTACAAATCAATATAATCTCCAAAAAGCTGTAAGCAACTTCTCTGAATAATGAAAAGTTCCATATGTTTTATCTAATTACATTTAACTCTATTTCTAACATTAGAAACAAACAGTATTTATTATCTTGCTATCCAAAATAAAAGCTCTGTTTTAGTTCTTAGGCCATTTGAAAGAAGCAAATGAATGAACAAGCAGGATAAGAGCTAACACTCCAAAAAACATTAACCAAGAATAAATTTTAAGTAAGACGGAGAAAGAAAATCCATTATTTAATGATTAAACAGTAAAAAATTAAAAAGTGTATACTACTTGCCCAAATTTTGCTTCTAGCAGTCTTTAAGATTTTGGCTTAATCCTTCTGACAACCAATTACAGCAGAGACTTACATTGGTAATGTAGGGTTCAATAGCTTGAGCCGTCCTCTTCAATAAAGCCTTGGCCAAATCATATGCTTGCTTGTTCAAATTCTGGAAAACAGAAAACAACATCTATATGAGACACTGCTAACTATTAAAACGAAAACAGTAGCTGTATTTAAAAAGCTACCCTTGTGGTAATAAATATGTTACATATTTTCAGACAAAATATTAAAGATTTGCTTTTCAGATTTAGGTCTTTATTCTATCTGTAATTTATTCTTATATATGCTATGAAATAAAAATCTTACTTTATTATTAGCCCAAGAGACAGAAAGGGCCACATAAACCAGAGACTTCATCAGCCTGAGACCAGAAGAACTAGATGGTGCCCAGCTACCACCAATGACCACC